ACACACACACACACAAAACCTTTTAGGGGCATCTTGAAATCGCTGCTTGCATTTCCTATTGTTTCTTATAGCCTAAAGCCTCAAGTGGAGCTTGTGTTGACCAACCAGTAGGACATTAATAACATCCTAATCACCCCAGTGTTACTGGGTGTGGACAGATGAAGACAGCAACTAATTGCTTTTATTATTCATAGCCTATTTTCTTGGAGCAGAGTTTCAACACCATACTAATTAGAAAGTCAGTTATTCCCTACAACTGACTTAAGTGGATAGTCCTGGTTTGGTTTAAAGGTAACATTCTAGGATATTTATAAAATGCAACATATGCAACTGTGTCAGGGATACACAAGTCCTGGACTTATTTCCATTGTTGTCCTTAACTGTTAATGTTATTAGGTGCCCGAAAGTGTCTTTAGTCTCACTGTGAGTGCAGGTTTTGTGTCACATGACCATAGATCAAAACACTCAAAGTAAGCCACCAATAATATGACTTATGATCTTGATAAATCAATGTTGTCTGATTACAAATGTGAGTGGAAGTGCTGTGGCTGTGATGTGTTTATATGTGTATATATAAGTGTGTGTGTGTGTGTGTGTATAGCCTCATGTGGCTGTATGATGGGACAGTGTTGAAGGGTTCCAGCCTGAGGGATCCAAAGCAGAAAAGTCGACGTTACCCTAATAAAGCACAACAAGACTTAAGTTTGTCAATAGGCCAATTCACAACCCCAACCAGCTCATTAATCACAGCTTTCAGGACCATGGGCAGAAATATCATATGTTATTGGATACCTTTTTTAAGTAGAACTGATTGTATTAATATTGCTCTTTTCCAATGGATCTTGTGATCAATGATGACCCCCTCAAAGATCTGTCTGTGTGATATGACCCTAAAGGCTCACTGAGGTCGAAAACAATAACAATAAGGCTGAAGGTGTACTGATATATTTCGGATACGGTAATCATCGTGATGAAACTACACTATGTATTTTAATAGTTAAATAAAATTAGCTATACTCTAATGCTAACCCTGCTTTAGGATAGGGCAGACATGGATGTATTAACAAAGTGAATTGCAGTGTGTTATACACTGTTATAGACAATATTCTGTTTCATTCCAGGCAAATCATTTAGGGAAAAGGAAATCATTTCAATACTAAACTGGCATAAGATACTGTTCAGGTTCAGTCAGAGAGCAAAGTAGTATAAACAGTCAGATGTTTATTGAGCTGTATTTCGTCAAAGCACAGTTTTCAGACAAGCATCATTACACAGAAGTTCACACACTTGTGACAATTCACATACAATTCCTACACAAAATGTAAGCAGCTGGCTGTGGCATGCTAAGAGCAAAGCATGTGTGTGCTGAGTATGTATGTGCCTGTGTATTTCTTTGCTTACGTGTGCTTGAGCATGTGCGCACAAAGAAAGGTGTTTGCATGGTAGAGAGAGAGCAAGAGTCCAGCCGTTGTTGCAAAGAAGTGCATCAGTTAGGCATCGGCTTAATTTTGAGAGGTGGTCTGTATGTGCATGTGAGGAAAGACGGAATGGAGAGAAAGGTGGAATGAATCTAGGACAGATAGGTAGGTGAGGATAGTTACAGGAACAGGGCAGAGAGGATTTAGTTTTTGGTGATGGAGGCGGCGATGGCCTCGAAGATTTCTTGGAGCTTAGCCTTGACTTCCTCGGCTAAAGGTGTAATCTTGTCCTTCAGGGTGGTGATCTCGTCAGCGTTGATGTTCTGAGCCTGGTTGTAGGCCTGCTTCAGCTGCTCCTTGTATTCTTCGACGTAGGGACTAGCCATTGCCTTCAGGCTCTCAAGACGCTCCTGGAGCTTGTCGCGAACAGACTCCACAATGGGCATCAGGGCGGTCTTGGTCTCCTCCACGTTGGTAGAAATCTTGGTACGCAGCTCCTCCACAATGGGCTCCATCTTCAACTTCAGGGCTTCCATGTCAGCTGTGTGCTTGGCATAGTACTCGGTGAGGATGGGATCCATCAGGGTACGGTACTCACTGATGTGCTTGTCGATGACTTCCTTCAGCTGAACCTGCTTGGGTGCGAGATCAGCCTTCAGGGCTTCAATATCAGCCAGGACAGAGGCACGGAACTCAGCGGTGGCATCAGAGATGGTGGAGACGACGCTGTCGGTCATGGGGGAAACAGCACCCTGCAGGGTCTTAACCTGATTGTACATGTCCTCCAGGCGCTGAGAAAGGGTGGCCCTGGGAGCAAACAGAGATGGAGGAGCGAAACCATTTTAGCTTAAGTTAAATAAACACAGCAGTGACTAAATAGTGACTAGAGAACTGTAAAAAATGGAAGAAAGGTAAATGAACCAGTGATGGAGCAAGCATCAATTACAGAAAGTGAGACTGACTAAGGTGAATAATGAGGCCTTACTTAAGCTCCTTGTACTCAGTATCATCGAGCTGGTCGAGGGCTTTGTTGGCACTGTCCTTCACCTGAGTCAGGTACACATCCATAGCGGCCCGGACGTGGGCCAGCTGGGAGGGTGCATCAGCCTGCAGGGAAGCGGCATGAGAGCCTGAGGCAGAGGAGGAGGGAAAGCAGTCAGAAAATACAGTATTTCTAATGTCATTTGAAATATAATTTAAAATATGTTAAATATTATGCAAAACTCATTTACTGACTGAGTATTGATGTACATGCAGGTTAAGCAGGTTAAGAGTGCATTCAGTACTCACCGACAGCCAGCAGAAGGGCAAGAGCGAGAGCCGCAAATTTCATGGTGGTGGTCTAGAATGGAAAAAGGGGTAACAGTTGATTATGCAGCACACATCACACTCACAGTAAAGGAGTTTCAATAAAACATGTTTAAATTAGACAAAGAAATGAACAAAAAAAATACTTTAAAATGGAAGCCAATTAACACAATCCAGTCAAATCTTGATTCCCCTACCTAAAGCAATGCGAAGGCCCGATAAGTAGGCTTAAAAGAAAGAATGCCTTAACCCAAAAGCTAAACACTCATCCCTGAATTAGCCCAGATGAGATCGCAGTAAACATATGGCTGCCTATGAAAGGAGCTGTAATCTGGGTAGAGTAGGGAAGGCTCTAAATTAGAGAGACAGCTTAAACAGATTAGCTTTCGACTTCTACATAATCCTGTTCCAGGCATTTACCGTAAATCAGTCATGGAATTAGCAAATTATCACTGTGATCTCAAAGGCAGTCTCAATCCATGAGCACTTATTAGGGATCTCTTTGTCTCCTTGAAATGAAGATAACTTAAATATCATAACAAGCTAAGCAGCATAACCCCAAAGTTACAATTAATGAAATGAAATAAATCACAATTAAAATGTATCACTAAAACTTATCTTCCTTGCAGAGAAACTTATTTTTGGCACCAGTTCACAACTTCTTCAAAGTTTACAGGTTGCATAAAGTTCACTCTCCCTGACTGAAAAAAAAGTTCTCTGACAAATATTCTTTTTTGACTACCTATTTCTAGAGCCCAAGTCCCAGTTAGAGCCAGAGCAGATGCTTGTCTTACCTGGTGGAGTTCGTGAGGAGACTGAACAACTTCAGCAAGAGCAGACTTTTTATAGTGCCCGGGTGAGGGATGAGTCCATGTGGGGAGGAGGGGTGGGGGTGGAGGTGTGAGGGCTGTGTGTCTCCGTGGAGGTGGACCTCACCCCCCTGCCATCTCCCTCAGCAGGGGGACTGGGTTGAGAGTTCAATGGTCACCTGCTGGGAGGAGATTACTCAGCACACACACACACACACACACTGTCACAGGTTTCCTATACATTACGAGAATCACAGATGAACTGTGACTTTTACAGAAGTGCAAACATTTTTTAACAATCTTCTAAATTCACAATTTTTTTTAAGGCAGCAGGATATTTGAGTGGTGATACTTCTGGGATAGCTATTGGCATTTTTTTCCTGCTTGATAAAAGTTTTCTCATTTGACCTGTAGCTAAACTGCTCTTGCTGTGCAGAAGAGATGAAAGGCTGATATAAACAAAAGGCAACTCAGTGTGAAGAGGGAGCTGTGAAGATGGTTAAATTAGTGAAGTGAAGTGTGAATATGACAAAAAGGGGGCAGAGGGACAAGAGAGAAAATACATTTATTATACCTAACAAAAGGTAGAGAGACAGGGGAACTGGAAGGGAAAAAAGGTGGTGGAAATAATGGGAATAAAATGGAAGCTAAGTATGAAGGTATAAGAAAAAGTTGAAGTGAGTGAAGGTATCTCGCAGGGGTCTGTAATGGTCCTGTTTTATTTTCTACATTTTTGCAGCATACACTTTTAAATAACAGTTTAGGTTGACCCCCTTCCTAGTGGTTAACTTGCATTGTGTTTGTTATAGAAGAGTGTTTAGGACAGGAAAGCCACAATTTTTACAGTCCCAGTGCTGCCAAAAGGCTGCCAAGAGAAACAAGCAAGAGTAAATAGAAGACAATGCAATGGACTCCCTGAAATGTAATCACATTAATCTGCAGTCACTAAATTGTGAATCAAATGTACTCACATTCACACAAATGCGACAACATTTGCAGTGCAGTAATCTATAGAACAGAGTATGAAGACAGACTTATCTCAGTTCACGGATAAGAAAGTTTGTGGTGTGTGTGTGCGATGATTAATAGGTCAAAGAGTGGTGTGTGCCAAGCTGTTGTTTGTTGTCCTGTCACCAGTGGACTTTGTCACCATGGCTTCATGTAATTTGAGGAAAATAAATGATCATAGTATAGAAATTTGTCTCTAGTGATACTCACATATGTGTATATCATAGGTACTATAATATCTGCAGTCACACAAGTATTACCCTTATATTATAAATGTCTATCAAAAAGTTAGCTAAGATATAATTCCTTTTCTTTAATATAAAAAACGGATACAAAGTGAAAGTATGTGGTACAATCATTAATATATATATTAAAAGCATGCTCTGATGCAGTAACTACGTGTTTTCGTTAAACAAAGGAGGTGACGTAATGTATACCTTTTTAGTCATACTTGTTTTGTTAACCCTTGCATATTAATGTACTGTATAAATACTTCTGCACAAGAATCTTAATGTTCAGATAGGTGTGCCATGGTCGAAGGAAAAGTTGCTACTATCTGCAGCATGAAGGCTAGACTAGTGCGGGGTTATTAGGTACAAGGTTAATCATTGTCATCAGTGGTCAGTGGCAATAAACTGTAAGCATGAAACTGGTCTGTGTTTGTTGCACAATATACTTTTAGTAGCCTATATAATCAGTGCACCCTGAATACCACTACTCTCCAATTCCTGTACTCTCAGTACTTGCTCTGAGCGATTGCAACATGTCCAATTCATATCTTATGCAAAATGTGGCAAGATACTACAGCAAGAATTCAAATCATGCACATTAACATATATTATGTACAGCATTCAAGACAATTGACACTACAAAAGGGTAAAAAGACTTTACTCTCAGTTTTCCATATTGAAAACAAGTTTACCACAGCAAATAAAACATATAAAGAGCATTAAATATCCTCTAAATCAGTGATTCCCAACCTTTTTCCGTAAGGGATCCCTTTTTTATCACTGAGTCAACTATCAACCCCTGACTATGTGAAATAAATTATGGATGTTTCATATTATATTCAGTGCATAACACAGACAGTAATGAACAATTGATAACTGTACAGTGAACCCAAATAGTGAACACAATAACTGCAGGAAGTTTGTGTAAAACAAGTGGTTTGGAATTTTGAGCAGGTTATTTCCTGTGAATATTACATCAGAGCTGAGTCTTCGTGATCTTTTCATACTAGTATTTGTCTGTATTATGTATTTTTAATTTTTTTAACAATCATACATTCTTATACATACTATAATTTTTGACAAATTCAGTGTTCTCTTCTCCCTGACGCTTGGCCATTGTTCAATTAGCAATGCGATTGTTTTAACTGCATACTTTCCTAATGCCGGCTGTTTATCAGAGAGTGATGGTTCTGTAAATATAGCTTGTGTTCAATAATAATTTTCAATAATAATATAAACTTTACAATATATAGAACTTATAATAATTCCATTTAGTTTTTTTCACAGAAATGAACAAAATGTTGAGATTGTATTATATTTTGAAAGTTTTCTTACACCCCTTAAAATCAAGAAGGTCTCGCAACCCCCTGTCAACCTTTTGCGACCCCCAGGTGGGGAACCAATTCCCTGTTCACCAACGGCAGTGATAAGAAAAGTAGGAACTTCTATGCTTTGATTTCAAATCCAAGAGAATGACTTTAAAATAAAAACTTCTCTACAATGTCCAATTTGTCTGAAAGACTCAACTAAATGGACATTTGTGAGGATGTAGCTGATTTGTTAAAAAAATGTTTCTAATAGTTTGTCACACCCTTGTATGTTAATGGGGTATTTCATACAGGTGCTCCACTTTGTGTGCTGCCAGAACTTATTTTCATTACTGAATTGAG